TCTCGATTTAACGGATTTTTGAAAAATTTTTACTAAGTGGCCGAAATTATCCGCTAAATCGAGTTTCACTGTGTATAACTTTTATGACGCGTTAATATTAAAATTAAAATTAAACTGTAATTGATTATTTACACATTAGCATATATATACAGCGATTAATAACAAATATATTAAAGTGTTTTTTTTTTTGAAGAACACATGACACAATTATTTATTGATTAATTTCTTAACACAGTTGAGACAATGGAACATATTGAATTATTAACAACAATACTACCTGATTGGTGCAAGATCTCGATAAAAAATGATGATAAAGTTGTCTGGTTAAATAAATCAATGAAAGGTATCATCCAAGAAGAATCGAAAAGAATTAAAAATGCAAAATAAATTGCATACTTGGAAACTTTTTCCAAAATTTTCTTTATTAAATCGGTTTTATTTTTAACAAATATTCAATTATTATGAGAGTTTATTTAATAAATATTAATAATGCTATATTAAAATATTAAGAATATTATATTAAAATTCAACGAATAAATTTAATAAATATTAATTATAATAACCTAATGAGTATGAAAAGGCATTGATTTTTTAGAGAAAGGTCATATTTTGCTTGTTGTTCGTCGAGCTTGCAGAGATGATTAAGTTTGATCCCTGAAATTCTTGGTAATACCAATGTTCACTTTGTCTGGTTTTGTTGCAGCATGCCCCACATTATTATTTTTCTTTCTTCTTGGTAAATTTCATAAGTAATCTTTTCTTAGATAAGTTTCAAGTGTCTGAGTATCGTTTATTTTGAAAACATAAGGAGCAATTTTTTCACTTTGTTCCTTTTTTAAAATACTTCTAATGGTGCTGTAATTCTTGGGTTCCATAGTAGATCTGATGTAAATTAGCTTCATATTAACTGTTTTTATATAGAGGTAATTCTATATATCACTTTAAGATAACGAATGGGATATTATAAAACTGTTAATTATGTAATCATGTTACAAATTTGGCATTTTTGAAATTTGGCCACGAGGCACAGTAAATGGTGGTTTAAGAGGTCTCGCACCATATAATAAACTTTTGAGAAAAATTTTTTTAAAAATAAAATATCAATATAAAACGTCATAAATAATAACTTAGATCTTATTTATTAAAAAATTATTACATGTCTTCCAAATTTCGAATTATCAGAAGATTGCATGGAATTATCACATGAGAACTCTAGTGGATTAGATGATTTACAGTTAGAGAAAAATGGATTGATGCTCGATGCAGTTCAAAGATTTGCGATTATTTTTTAAAGAGGAATCAAACTGTAGCTGCCGTAAAAGTATAAATAGAATATGTTTTAAAAAAATTGGCTTCGAATTAAAAAAAACATTCTAATTTAAAATTGGAGTTTTTTGAAAGCAACTAGATTATAAATAGAAGTCAAACAAGACAACTATATATCTCCATCTATTCTACATATACTATTTGTTCTATTCATTCTTCGTAATTTTACTTGGTATTTTGTAAAGATAATTAATATAATTAATACGCAAAATATCAACATCATAATTTATTTTAAATAAGGAACATGAGAAAGGGGGAAAATATATATACAGTTCACTCTCTCTATAACAAACCCTCTATAACGAACACTAAGTAAAATCTATAATGAACCCCTCTTTTGTCCCTGATTCATTTTTCTCTCCCTATAATGAACATCTTAGTAAACACTACAAGGCAGAAAATTACATATAATGATGGAAGGTTCGTTATAGAGAGAATGAACCATATCCTGTTTATTTTTATTTACTTGTCAATTTTTGTTCGCTAAAGGTAGAAAAGGACTGTGTTATAATAGTATTCATCCTCTTATCATTCAACAGATGATATTACAAATGTAAAATTCGTGTTACATAAACTTTACCCTTAACCGGCTAGTAACTGGTTTATTTGAAGAAATTTTTATAACCATATTAGTATAGTCAGTAATAGATCCGTCAATTAAATTTTGACATTTACCATGAATGTAATTTTAAAGTATTGTACAAAATGATCATATAAAAATATAAGTAACTTCTTGTATAAACTTTTTTTAATTAAAAAAAAATGTCTCAAAATTTAAATAATGTTAAACGTCGTAACCGTAAAAAACATAATAAAAATGAAAATTCAAAGTCTTCTGATGATTATGCAAGCGTGGACGGCTTTGATTCAACTAGTTCAACTCAAACATCTAGTTCCAGTAGTGGCAGTATCTCCTCCCATTCAAAGACAGAAAGCGAATTTAGAAAAAAAAACATATCTTCACCAGAAATGGTTGAAGAGTTTGTTAACGATACATTTTTTTTAAAACACGAAGAGAAAAGGCCTTTTCTTACGAAGAAACGTGTTGTTTTTACTGCAGGGATAATGTTTGGTCTTTTGATAGCCTCGTTCTTTGCCCCACAAGCCAAAGACCTGCAATTATTATCGGATTTTATAGCTATGTCTTTTCTAGATTTGGATTTTACCAAAATGTTGCCAGCCAATGTTATAGTGGAGGAATTATTAGGAAATATCACCATGTATTTAAGACCTAATATATCAATACTAGCTGATACTGAATTCTTACCTGGTTTAGATTTGGCTAAAATTGAAGGTATAAGCGCTTATCATCCTGTTACATTAATACCTGGTATCGTTTCAACTGTAAATATCAAAAATTAATATTTTGTTGTGATGATTTGATTTTTTTAAAAAAATCATTAATTAAATATATTTTAATAAGGGGTTGGAAAGTTGGAGTACATCAAATTGTTCTAGACCATATTTTAGAAAGCGAATGTGGGGTACTACAAGTAGGTTTTTTATCCCTTTTTCCTTTCTATCTATTTTTAATAAAAATGATTTTTGTTTAATAACAAATAATAAACTTATATAGCAATGTTTCGAGCAATTCTTATGGATAAAGAATGCTGGAGACATCATATGAGACTTGATCCAATTACTGGATTAGATCCACCTGGAGTTAAATTACGGGCTGCTCAAGGTTATTTAAAATAAAATGCTATAAATAATGAAATAAGATATATAAGCCCCAAAGCTCCTGTTATCACCCAACCATCTTTCTATTATTATTATTATTATTATTATTATTATTATTTAAAGAGAATTCATAAATGATCTTTGATCAATTTTTGAAGACAATAATAAAAGAATATGGAATGCTCATTGTTTGCTGAATATTATTAACTTGCTAATTAGGTTTGGATGCTGCTGATTATTTATTTCCTGGGTAAGTTGATAACTAATGTTAGCAATATTTTGATAAATATATATTTATTTAAATATTAAAACGGATTTATAAATGGATGAATTAGCTATTGGGTTTGGGGTAAGCAAATTTTTTCACTTCAAAAACAAATTATAACTATATTATTTATTTATTGTATAAATTCATCTATTATAGGTAAAATGATTCAAAATCTTGCCGCAATTGGATATGATAATAATAATATGCACCTTGCTGCTTATGATTGGAGATTATCATTTTACAATCTTGAAATCCGTGATAAATATTTTTCCAAACTTAAGGCTAATCTTGAACTTGCAAAGAAAAGCGAAGGAAGGAAATCTGTAGTTGTTGGACATTCAATGGGTAATAAATAAAATTTTTTTTGAGAAATTAAATTTCTTTTTTTTTAAACAATAATAATTATATTTTTGTTATTATTTCTTATAGGATCATTGATTGCTTTATATTTCTTTAAATGGGTTGAATCACCTTCCGGTGGTAATGGTGGTCCAAATTGGGTTAATGATAACATCGAAGCATTTGTTAATATTGCTGGACCTTTATTAGGGTTACCCAAAGCTTTATCTGCATTACTTTCAGGTTTATTTTACAATAAAATATTTAATAACAATAACTTATTATTATTACTGTTTTAAATCAAATTAATTGCATAAATTACAGGTGAAATGCGTGATACAGTTGAATTAGGTGCCTTTGGAATTTATTTATTAGAAAAATTTTTTTCTAAACGTGAACGTGCAGATTTATTTAGAACATGGGGTGGACTTTCCTCAATGCTACCAAAGGGTGGTGAGGCAATTTGGGGTAATATAACGCATGCACCGGATGATCGTCACGATATCATGGAATCTTATGGCCCAATGTTAACATTTAGATGCAATAATAATAATAATAATAACAATAATAGTGACAGCGATAACAAGAATGTAACAAGAGACGTAATTCATAAATATCATACATGTAATTCAGGAGTTAAATTCTTACACAAGTATACAAATCCAATATTCAATAATATGTTGGCAAGAAATTATAGTTATGGAATTTCAACAAAAAAGGAGGAACTTGAGCAGAAGGATGACGACAAGGATGATGATAAGGTGTTGAAACATGCGAAATGGACTAATCCTTTAGAATCTCAATTACCAAATGCACCAGATATGAAGATTTATTGTTTATATGGGTGGGGCAAAGAAACAGAACGAAGATATTATTATTCACACAATGGAGGACTTGATTTTAATGAGGATGGAAATAAATTGAATTTGAAAGAAGAGATTAATGAATTTTTTAAGAATATTTTCATAGATAGCACAATGAATTCTGAACGTGATCCTCATCTAAAGAGCGGTGTATATAATGGGGAAGGGTATGCGTTATTATTATTGCTATTATGATTTTTGTTGATAGTGATAATAATATATGATATTATTGTTTATTTTTGTAGAGATGGTACGGTTCCCTTAATATCACTTGGTTATATGTGTACGAAAGGATGGAAAAATCCATTATACAATCCAGCTAATATAAAGGTCATAACAAGGGAATTTCAACATGAAACCACAAGTTTTGATTTACGTGGTGGAGCAAAAACAGCAGACCATGTTGATATCATGGGAAATTATGCACTCACGGTAATGTAAAAAAGTTTTAGTTGACGAGATAATCGTTATGATTAATTAATAAACTTTTCCTTTTTTATATAATAGGAGGATGTTTTACGTGTTGCATCTGGTGACAAACTTGAGGATAGAATATTTTCTAGAATTTTAGAATATTCTGAAAAAGTTCAAATTTAGTTGTAGATATTTTTTTTCCTTTTGATAAAATCATTCTTCATTCATTAGACTTTCTTTTTTAATATAATAAAATTAAATATAAAATAATTGTTGAAAACATGTATGATTTAACATTATTAATTATTTTTGATGTGATACAAGTGATATATTAATGGATTTTTTTCTAAAAAGGAAATAGCTCTTTATCTTCGAAACAAAATATTCTATAATGTCATATTAATAAGCTTTCGAGTAGGTAACTCAATTATAAATTCTATTTAATCCTTCCCTATTACCATTATCCTACCATCTTGTTATAAAAAACACTCAACATGCAACTTTTATACCAAAAACTGCTAAGGTAGTTAATTCTAACCTTCGTAGACTCAAATCTTTATCAAAAAATTTATAATTTGAATCTCCTTCATATTTATTATTATGAACAATTTGATCATAAAAATGTTGTACATTTATTAAATTATCTTTTAAATATTCTATCCTTTGAGATTTTGATGGATGGTGTTTAAATAATATTAAAGGACTAACATTTTCACTCTTTATATTGTGATCAATCCCCTCACCCGTGTTAATAATATTGTTGTTCATTTCATCTAATTCCTTCATCTTTTCCCATAACTCAATAGCTTTCATTGGATTATAACCAGACCTTGCCATTATCTGTTGTCCTAACAAATCAGCCTCTTTCTCTAATTCTTGTGAATGTTTTTCCAAATATCTTTTAATATATTTATTACTGCTGTTATGATTGCTAGTAAAGAATAATAATTGATCAAAAAAACCTGTTAAGCTCCAAACACCATAAAATTCAATTGCATGATCTTGCATAATATGAGCCAATTCATGTGCCAAAACTGAAGCCAACAATTCTTCATCATAATCAATAAATCTTAACCAACAAGTTGTCACCGTTATATCTGATGAAGCATAACTAACACCATCCAACATTTCATCATCGTAAATTAGATGAACTTTGGGTTTCTGATGATGTAGATGCGAGGAAAAATAATTTTGGTTCCATTCAGCACCATTATTTAATATTTTCTTATTCTTATTATTGTTATTATAATTATAATTTTCTTTTTCTTTATCATATTCCTCATAATCCATAGATTCCACTCCACATTTCCATAATCTATTGATCACATGATCAATCAATTGTAATCTTGGATCTTGTTGATCAGTGATGGTTGGAAGTTGAGTGATGTGTTGTTTAGAAATTTTGACCAATTCGCCAATTTCCCATGACCATAATGGCATCATTAATCGTAATCGATTGGTATTAGGTGCTTTATCGAGACTGGTAAAGAAGAAGTAAAGTGTTGGAATGATTAGTGTTGTGGTTGTTAATAATAATATTGAATGTCTTAAAAAATAGGATGAAGATGACGAAGTGGTGGTAGAATGTGTTAATATTTGTTTGAATAGTGGTAATTGGTGTGAATGTGATGGTAATTGATGCGTATGAACTGTTGTTGAATAAAATCTTGGAATGAATTGATGATTTTGATAAAAATTATATGGTTTGAAAAAATACTCATTTTTTTGTAATAATAAAAATTTTAAACGCTTCGTTCCTAATGTTGTTGCATTGTGTTGTATTTGTAAAGATCTAATCGATCTAAATAGTATCTTATTAGCAATCATTTTTGTTTTTTTTTTTTAATTAAAAAAGAATATTTTTCTTTGGGTATTTAACCAAAATCCATGCACGCACTTATATATAGGATAAATGATTATTACCACAAAATATAATTATTAATCAAATCATCTAATACTATTATTAATAACCATAATAACCATGATGTGGAGCTCGCTGTCGAAAGATTTTTTTGGTTTGTTGATGTAAATATATTGTCGGAAAATCCCGGATGACATACATTGGCTAATACTAATACTAATTGCATCATGATGAAAAAAGTTTTTTTTTTTTTTATAATCACACCATATTAATATTATTAATATTATTAATATCACACCATTATATTCGAAAAATTATTGTTACCATGTGATTACATTAAAAACAATATTGGTTTTTGGAGTGTTTCTAAATGTCATGAGGTTGTCTATATTTACTGATTTTTTTTTTAAAAATTTTATAACAAGAAATATTTAAATGTATATAGTATAGGTGTGTGCATTGAGAGAAAAGTATATTTAAAACGAATGGTTGTAGTTAGAAAAAAAATAGGGCTATTAAAACGTTTTAGAGTTCAATATTATCACTACAGTTTACTGTCATTCGGACAGTCTGGGTGTTTTGTAAATCGTAAAACAAACAACTGGACATTGGAGAGATGGCTCACTTTAGAAATAATTGAACAGTTTCCTCAGATATATGTGCAAGGTCAGAAGATAGAGATGTAGTATTATTATATAATATGGAAAGAAATAAAATTGTTAGGCAGTAAACAAATTGACTTGTCAGATTATGTGTAAATGGAGGAGCACATCATAAATATTTTCTCGTTAATTTGCTTTATCAAACAATTAATTTTGAATAAAATATACAGTCGAAAAGTATTTTAAAGTCATTCAGTGACAAAAAAATTTACTTTGGCAGAGGATTTAAGTGATGTTATTAGCAATTAAGATATAGAGATCGAATAATCATAATAAATAATGAATATCGAAACAATTAAAAGGTTCAAGCTAATCGATAACATTATATTTTATTATTATTTATAGTAAAGGTAAAATTCGAAATAAATTGATGTATTAAAAATTGCCCATTAAATATATTTTTCTGATTGCGGTTATCATTATCATTATCATTATTATTAAAATAAATGAATAATTACAATCCTTTAAAGTTCTCATGAATCTTGACAATTTATGAAAACTTGCAAGAAAAAAAATCCTTATTTTTGAAAATCAAACTTGTGTGATTTCCAATTTTCGAATTTATATCACGATCACGATCAAATTATTTTTTTTTTTTAAAAAAAAATATAATGTCGCAATCAATATCACTATCTTTTGGTCCACCATTAGAAACTTGGAATAAAGGAGTGGATCAAATAATCCATTCAAATATTTCAGGTTTTTAAGTTTTTAAAGTAAAAAATTAGACACGTATCGTAAATTTATTGACTTTTATATTATTTTAAAAAGAATGCACTGCTCGAACAGTTGAACCTGTCGGTCAATATTTTTTTTCGTACGCTCGTCAAAAACTCGATAACTCCTTTTTCAATTTGGATGAACACATGAATGTTGAAACGCAAGTAGAAGAAGATGAGTTATTATCTGAAGAATCTGAGGAAGAAGCAGTTGAATTATTAAATCGCGATCCAAAAGAGTGGAAGGTAAACAAATGGTTTAATTTTTTTTATAAAAATTATAGTTTTACATTATATATATATATATATATTTAGGAACAAGATCATTACGCAGTTCTAGGACTTTCAAAGTATAGATGGGATGCTACCGATGAACAAATCAAACGTGCATGTATGTGTGTGGTTTGATTTAAATTGATCTCATTCTTGACAATTAATTGATTAATTTTTTAAATTTATTCATAATAATGTGTTTTAGACAGAAAGAAAGTTCTTAAACATCACCCAGATAAAAAGGCATCAAGTGGAAACACCAATGACGATGCCTTTTTCAAATGTATTCAAAAAGGTATTAAAATTATTATTCAAATTATTATTCTTACTATTATTATTGTTATTATTATTATTATTAATTTTAATTTATTCTGAATCAGCACACGAAGTACTTTCTGATCAGACTAAACGTCGACAATTTGATTCAATTGATCCTGCAATTGATGATTCGATACCACCAACCATTAAGACAAAGGGTAGCTTTTTCCAAGTATATGGACCAGTTTTTAAAAGGGAAGCTAGGTATGATTGTTATTATAAATTGTTTTTTTGTTTGATATTATTTTTTTTTATGTTGATTTCTTTTAACAGATTATTTTTCTTTTACTTTTATAATAAAAAGATTTTCTAATATAACACCAGTGCCTATGTTGGGCGATATAAATACTTCTAAAGAAGAAGTTGAATTATTCTATAATTTTTGGTAATTTCTATTTCCGTTTTATTTTAATTATTATTATTAACATTCATAAATTAATGTATTTAATACGTGCTTTGTATTCAAGGTACAATTTTGATTCATGGCGATCATTTGAATATTTAGATAAAGAAGATCTAGATAATACTGAAAAGTATATTTCAATTAAACAATCGTCTTTTAAATTGTTATTTTTTTAATCATTATTATTTATATATACATTAGTCGAGATGATAAGCGTTATCTTGAAAAAAAAAATAAAGCAGAAAGAGCAAAGCGTAAAAAAGAAGATACAGTCCGACTGAGAAAGATTATAGGTAAATAAAATAATTTTTAATAATAAAATCCATGATATAATATTTTTTTTTTCAAACGAGATAATAAATATTATATATATATATATAATCCACAAAGACCAAGCCGTGTCTTCTGATCCACGTATTATTAAATTTAGACAAGAAGAAAAGGCAGCCAAGGAAGCCAAGAAAAAAGAAAAAGAAGCAGCGACATTAAAAGCTCAGGAGGAAGCAAAAAAGGTAAACTTTTAAACATCTTCATATCCACTGACTTCTGCAATGTTACACGACACCAGTTACATATAACCAATTCACAGACCATGAAACCCAATTCACAAGTAGAATCTCAACAAAATATTGAACTATTTTTTAATATTCTATAAATGACTGGTATTTTATTATGATATCCGTGTGTTATCTGGTATAGGTTGATTGAGTATATTTTATTCTTTGCTTACTTTGTTTACTCAAAACTTTGTACCCCAAAATGTTATGCAAATCGGTGGATATGTTTTAGAAAAGGAATTTTTTTTAATCATACAAAAATATAATGATCTTTTTCTAAAATAGGCGGCTGAAGAAGAACGACTAAAAAAAGAAAAGGAGGAGGCTGAAGCAAAACTAAAAGTTGGTTTTATCAATTTATTTGATTTAATATGTATGATGCAGTGCCATATTTTAATAATAATATTTTATTGTTAGCAACTCGATGAAAAAAAAGACAAGACAGCAAAAAAGAAGGCAATGAGAAACGAACGAAAGAATATTAAGACAAACCTTAAGGTACTTGCTTGCATACTATTAATTATTTTTATAAACAAACTTGTTTTATATTTTATAATTTTTCTTTGTTCGTAATAAAATCATTTTTATCCATATCATTGTTTTTAACAGTCACATAATTATTTTTATCCTGAAAATGAAAGACCATCTGCGGATATTATAGAAATTCAGCTATCAGAATTAGATATATTATTTGAAAATCTTTCTTTGGAGGAATTAAAAAATGTTAGAACTAAAATGGAATCTTCTAAAGACAGAAATGATGCAAAACAAGCCTTAATAGACGAGGCAACAAGACTTATCAAAAATGGTATTTTATCTTCAAGTTCGATCAAACATTTTTATTCAGGTATGCGTTTTCTCGCAAATATCAAAACTATTGTGATATTTTCACTATTTGGATACAATATCTTATCACATGAATTTTTTCCTAATCAGGTTCTGAAGAAAAACCTGTTGAAAAGATAAAAAAAGTTGAAGTTACAACAAATGCACCAAAAGATCAATTTCCATGGAGTGAAGAAGAAACAGCGTTATTGATTAAAGCTGCCAACAGATTTCCTGGTGGCACAATAGACAGGTAAATTATTTTTAAATTAAAATAATTAGATCTTGTATTTTTTTTTATACCATTTTATATATATCTCATTTTCAACTATATAATAATAGATGGGAAAAAATAAGCGAGTATATTTCTATCCATTCTAAATCGCCTCCAAGAAAAACTGAAGATTTGGTCAAGAAATCTAGAGAAGTTCTAAAAGGCATAATAATACAACCAACATCCAAAAAATGAAATTCTTCACATATAAATCTACATAAAATTACTTTATGAATGAACATAGGATTAATTTAAAGTTATGTTGTTATTGTTATGTAAAGACTAGACTTCGTAGGATAGAAATATTATAATTAATTAATTACACGCACGTTAAATTATTATTTCGTTGTTCTTAAATCAAATTTACATTTTTATAAAAAATAATAATCGATTCTACATCAATAAAAAAATCTACAATTTGAAAAAAAAAAAAAAAACTAATAATTACAAATAATGAATATATTAATATATATTATATGTATATATTCATAAAAAAAAATCTAATTATCATTTTTTATAGTTGACATAATTGTGTTTTATGTATATAATAATATAAAATTTTAAGATCATAAACCAAGTCGAATGGTGGTCTTTGAAATAATTTACTAATTGCAATTGCGTTTCCAATTACCACCACTTTAAAATATTATTATTATTACTTACTACTACTACTACTACTACTACTTTTATTATTATTGCTATTGTTAAATAATAAAATTACATAATAATAAGGAAAATTTTAATTAGTGGCTTTTTTATTAAAAATTACAGAATCATTAGTTGGTCGCATCTGCACGTATTCTAATCAATGTTTAGTCATTATATCTTCACATGTCTGCACACATTGTATCTGCACTCCTTGTCAATTATTCACACATTGTCTCTGTTATATACATCATTACTCAGATATATTACTATTACCTTTTTTTCTTATAACTTTTAAAAGCTTATTCACTAATTTTTTTAGTTTTGGATAAATTATATTATTACCATTAACATTGTCTTCATTAACTGTAAATGAATCATCATAATAAGAAGATTCATCGCCCATACTACTACAGCCACTTATAATGCTATTATCATATTGTAATTCATTCCCATCAATATCATTATTTGAATGATCAATGATTTGATGATCGTATGGAATGTGAGGTCTTATGCACACATAATCAATAGACTAAATAATTAAATGATCGATAATTAATAATATATATTAATAATAAATATATATTATATTTAAAAAAATGAATTACTTACGAATGGACCTTTGAGTGATTTTTTATTTTTTAGCAATTTATCACCCTGACATATAATCCCAGTGTGTATTTGATATCTTCTATCATCAAATTGTTCTTTTTTATTGATAATTATTTGATAAGGTAATCTGAAATGAAACCATCCTTTATCATAAAATGTGGAAAGTTCATCTGGATTAGGTGAATATTTATATTTCGATTCTCTTTCGTAGGAATTTAGATAAATATCATGCTAACAAAAAAAAAATTTTTTTAAAAAAAAGATAATAATCATAAGTAAATTTATTAATGAATAATAATGATGATAAATTTACATAATAAATTATTATTATATGCTCACCCTTAACCAAATATCAGTATTAAAGTGTATTATTGGTTTACATGTAATTTTATCTATTTTCATACGCCAAATGATATCATATATACCAGGTGGAACATTACTCACTGTGATTTCAATCTAATAATATTTTATAAAATAGTTAGAAAAATTATAATTTTATATTATACAGGAAAAAATTTACTTACATTAAATGATCTTTGTTTCTCCTTTATTTTATTTCCTGGAGGACTATAAATCGAAGTAAATTATCAGTTAAATCAATCAATTTTATCAACCGATTCCTAGCTCTAATCCGATCATCATGATTATTACCTTTCTTCGTCATTTTTTTTATCAAAATCTTTGAATCTATAATAAGCACCAGATTTTCCTCGCGAATGTGCACTTTTAGTGGTCACTTTAACAGTCGATAATCTCATATAAGCTCTTAACCAATTAGGTTCAGCAAAGATAAGTTTTCCTTTTGATCTTTTCCATTTTCCCCTCCTATAAAGATTCTTTGGTTCCTCTTCTATAACATTCTTACCGTATTGTTCAAGTACTATTTGTTTCCATAAATAATTGTCTCGAGTATGGGATCTAATTTTTTTATTCACCTAAATAAATATAACAAATTGTTTGGTCATGATTAGTTATCACGTATAGCATACCAATGTAATTATTAATTAATTGATTAATCAATCAATCTTTTTTACCATAGATAATGAAATAATGTCAGTTGCTTCTAAACTATTCATAATATACATCATAATTTCGTGTGGTATCTTACTGAATCCATCTTTAGCAACTAAATCCATTATCGATTTATCCACCACTTCCACCTCATTATCATTACTATTTATTGTATTAGCATTGGCAATATCATTATTATTACTACTATTGCTACTACTGCTATCATTATTAATTATGGTATTATTAATAGTGGTAGTAATTGATCTTTGCATGATTATTGATGATGCAATTGCAGTCGGCGAACAGGAAGAAGGAGAAGATAACATTAGAGCATAATTCAAATTTGAATTATGATTAGTACTTCTGTTATTTTTTGATTCATATTCAGTTTGCCATGTATGAAAATGAAGCCTTTTCCTAGATGGAGTTGTCGGATAAAATATTATTGATAATCCGTTTTGTTGTTGCATGACTTAAAATGGGGATTTTTTTAAATTAATTAAATAATTAAAGAAAGTAAAGAAAGTGGGAAAGCAGGAAAGTAGAAGAAATAATTTGAAAAAATTCCTTTTTTTTTTTTTTATATTTTTATATATGATATAAATATTTATTATTTGCATTTTTTTTTTACAAAACCAATCAATTAAAAAAAAATTTAGAATTAAATTATCTATAACTATGTGGAAAATAAAGTTAGCATAGGAATATTAATATCATTAATAATATCATTCCATAATTATTAAATAAGCATGCAACAATAAAATCAACAAATATTGCAACTTTTTAGGAAAATAACTAGGGAAAATTTATTTATTTATTTTTACTCTATTAGTCAGTTAGTTCATTAATTCCAGTTCATACATAGTTCATACATAATGTGTTTAACGCACATAAACATTGTTTATGTTTAATGATTTTGTTGATCTATCTGATAGATTATGAATTCTCTCTAGATTCTTAATCACCTGCAATTTTGACATATTAATAATATGTTTGTTATTTATTTTTGCAATTGGTTATGTTTTACATTTCATATGATCGAAGTTACGGTTACACGATTTGTATAACATCCAAAAATTTGGCCTATGTTCTTTAAATAGTAATTATTAGCTCTATCCTCTTCACTGTTCATGTTGTTGTTATTATTATTCTGTATACATTCAGGATAAAAAAGATTAACAACAATATAAATTTTATTTTACCTTTTTTGAGAATTTCCTGCGTTATTATTTATTTTGGGGAGACAAATAAATAATTAAAATAAGTTTATTTTCGTTACTAATTACTTAATATTAATTTTACATGCCAATTGGGAAAAACAACGAATAGAGAAAATATGGCATTACTATGAAGGTCACGTGATCGCACAAAAAACTAAGCACTAATATTGATATCAGCTATTCGATGTAAGAATAAGAATGACAACTAGTATTAATATTAAATACAAATATTGAAGCCATAATGGAAGAAGTTATATATTTATATTCTATCCTTCATCAGCATCTTTTGATAATTCTCGTCTTTTTCTAAAGCTTCACCAATACTTGAGCCGGATTTTTTTTGTACTAGAAGAAATTTTACTAATAGCCTATTAGTGATAAAAGAAATTAAGCCTACAACAAAGTCTCTTTATATAAATACGAGAACAAGATAAAAACTCACATTATCTGCGACTGCTTTTTCATTTTTTGGTAAATTATTAATTAATCTTGGTAAAAATTATTTTGAAAAAAAATGAAATAAACTTTCATAACGTCTTTTATCATTTCAATATAATGCTATATATAGTATGTGGATAATATTTGTGAGATGATCAAAATAAAACAATGAACAAGAAGAGAAAATATTTACGTTTTTTTCCTCATCATTCGAAGTATTTCTCTAAGGAGTTTTCCAATTTGAGCTAATAATAAATCAGCAAATAAATGATAATAAAATAATAAATAGAACATACGATCGTACGTATCGATCGTATTAACCTTTTCTCTATTATCACGAGAGAAATACAAATAAGGAATAATTGCTTTTTTTAAGTTCGGGAACTCTTATTTGTGGTAGTATTGCTAAAGTGTTGATGGCAGCGTCTAAATTTTAGCTGTTTTTGGCATATTTTGTTTAGAGAATTATTTGTAATGCGCGTTTTTCTTTGATTTTTATGTAAATAGAAATATTATTATTTACAATAAATGGACTATTTACTTCTATTACTAAAATAACATTACGATTAAATTGCGATCAATTTGACATAATAATAAATAAGATAAATTCTCGGTCAGTAATTGACTATCCAAATCTGCGCCTGTAATACAAACAGGATGGCCGCGCGTTATAGAAGCTTACCTAAACTAAATTATGATGATGCCGAAACTTAGGATAAAAAAAAGTTATAGAAACTAGTAATTCGAAACTCAGTTACTTTGCCGAAACTCGGCCAGGGATTTATGCATCGCGATTTTCATCCAGGATAATTTGTTGCCAAAACTTCAATTTTTGTTGAAACTATTTTATAATGATTAAACATTTTCTTTCGAAACAAATTAATTATTGTTGAAATACAAGAAATTTTATTATTATTGTAAAACATTCATATATTATTATTATGTAGAAGGTGTTATAATCCTTTGGTTACATTGGTATCAACAAATGGTAAGTTCGGTGATGTGTTTGCTTTGGCGGATTTTGGTGTTGTTGGAAAATATACTAGTTGAATACCATTATTCTGAATCGTTATCTTCTTAATCTAAGTCTATGATTTCCAAATCTGAAAATCTTCATTAGCTATGTAAACACACTTACTATTCCCACAAAGCAAACAATGAATAGATTAGGAATTACCCAAAAGAATGTATTTGCTTAGCTTAATTGATAATATATTTAGGAAGATGCTTGATTGATTCTCCAAAAATTTTTTGTAACATAAGAAATGATTTCTTTTCAGCAATCTTGGTCAAGTTTAAGAACAGGATGATATCTTTATCTTTAAATAAAGAAAGGAAAAAGATTTTTTTTCATGTAAAAAATAAAATGCTAATATTTATTATTATTTGAAATGCGTGATTTATAAATTTACGTGTAACCAAAAATTTTCCCGTGATAAAATCAAATATATATATTGATGAAATTATTACCCATGAAAGTCGAAACTAAATCTTTCAATTTGCCAAAACTATTGCCGAAATTTAGTAATTTAGGCAAAATTCTATAGGCCGCGTAAAGGGTTAAAATCCTAATTTGGTTATAATTGTCTTAACATGAATTGTTCAACAAATGAACATAATGACTAACAAGCAAACCTTATTAAACTAAATCAGGAAGAGCCAAATCCTCCCTATAGCTAATTGTGGCTTCATAGAAAGTCATCATTGCTGCTGCTGCCACCAGCTAGACATATCCTGCCACAGTTAAAATGGCAGCAGAGAGGTCAGTAAGTCTCCTTATAAATGGATCAGGTCTCTCTCCATAAGTGTTTGTGTGCGAAAAAATGTTCCAATGTGTCAGACAGACTGATTTGCAGACTCTGACAGACCAGAATTTTTAATGCTTATCAAACCACCCATTACACAAAGAACAGACTGAGGAAGTACGGAACTCATCAATGTTCACCACCTTGCAGTGTCTAGAAAGCTCTTGGGAAATTCTTTTACAGGGCCTGGAGCATGCCATGTGATGTTTATGAGAATTTACCATCACTAAATGCAACAACTGTACTACCATTACATAATATGTAATAACTTTTATTTATTAATATAATAAAATAAAATCAAATAAATTAAATGTATGTTGTAGAAAATATTCTATGAAAAAATATTGTTACACGAAATTTACTTGGTCTCAATTTCAGTTTAAGCTGATAAGTTTTGAAGCTTGAGTCATGAACAATAAAACTTATTGGTTAAATTTTTTAAAATGAGATGATTTTTTTTTTGTTTTAGTATTTTGAAGTTGACCAATTGTTATTAATGATATGTTTGAAAGGCCAAATTGAAACAAATAGTTGAAACTTGAATATCTTAATTCAGAAACCTTTTACCAAATTTGGAAAGATAATCTGGTTTTTTAAAAATTACTTGTGATCATGTAACAATTTGAAGGAAATAAAATACGTTTTTTCGGTCCCAAGGGGTGAGTGTATATATAGTATTAGACTTTCATAATGTAACCAGTCCATGAAAGAGAGAAGTATTAGTTGTAGCATACTATTTCTAGTTTATTGGTATAGTAAACTTTTTGTTTTTATTATAATTAAATAAATTAAGCAAAGGCTGACCATTTTTTGATTATAGGCTTTTCACCATCGGCATTTGTTTCTCCAAAAGTCACTCTGTGCCCCATAGTATTTCAAAAATATATATTTTTAATAGATTATAATAAAAATGCATACTTTCGTAATAACGAAAAAGGAAACATTTTTTTCTTTTTAATAAATAAAGAAATTTTACATATTGAGTAAAGACTGACCATTTTTGGTTCCCGAAAAATCGCTCAAAAATACGTATTTTGATCAACATTACATATTATGCAACAAATCTAATTGTCAAGATTATCTTTTATTATAATAAAAAAAAATAACGATAACAAATTATAATATGATTACAACAAATTACTCAAATTATTGTCTTGCAAAAATAAAATCAAGCTTTAATTGTAATTCTTCTGAAGAGAAAGAATTAAATAACAATGTAGTGGGTTTAAATGGAAAGTTATGGAATGAATTATGTTCCTTAATTTCTGAAAATGAAAAAGGTACTTGGACAGAATTTTAGTAATAAAAAATGATTTAATTATATTTAAACAAACTCTCATCTTTTTATACTGACAATATATCATTAGATCAATTCTCAACTTTAAAACCGTACTTTCTTATCTCAGTAACGCCTTTGAATTCAAAATTAAAAAGTCCTTTGGAGCAATCTTTATTAAAACAAAAAACTCCGTTCTCTAAATTACTTCCTTCAATTGTTGTTTATGGAAAATTAAACCATCTTGATAATTCGAAAGTTGGTCAAGAGGTATCTAATTAATCTAATTATTTGTAATATATACATATACATACATGTATTTGATTATAAATGACAATCTAAATTTTTATATAAATTCTATATAAACGAATACCTAGGATGATAATATTTGTTGCGTGTCAAGCAAATTTTTGAAACAAAATAATTTACAAGATGATATTAAAGTAGAAATCAGAATCACTCATCCTATTGAATTGGAACAAGTTATTTTAGGAGCTATGAATTTAGAATCATATAGTTTTTCAATAAGAGGTGTGTGAATGCAAGATTATTAATAGTTGGGTAAGTTATCTTTTATAAATTTGATAAACATTACATACATAACTCAAATACTTTTTTTTTCTAAAAAAAAATATGTTTATCTGGTATATATTTTCCTTTGATCGATTAATACAACCAACATTTTGCAAAAATCAAAAGATCCATCGTCATTATCAAAATGTCTCACTTCACCATCATCGACTCCACCTATTATATTTCGTTATTCCCAAATATACAATTTTTCACCAAAATCGTCTTCATCTTCAACTACTGCTGAGCTTCACAACAATGATTATTATTCATTTAAAGTGTTAATGTGCGATCCTGTTTTGCAAGGTGTAATTGCAGACCATACAAATTTCATTGTTACAGATATATCATCAGAATCTTTGTTAGTAAATGATAATGATTATATCAAGGATAAAGAAATTGAGCATGAAAAAGAAAATTATGATGATGATGATGATGATGATGATGATGATGATGATGATGATGATGATGATGATGATGATGATGATGATGATGATGCCTTGGATTCCGATTTTGATGCATTTTTGGATTTAAAAGATAATTTTATAGAAACCCAATTATCATTACTTAAAGTTAATGGAAGTGATCAATTAAATGGTAACGAATCTGATTGGACATCATCATCAGCTGCATCATCATCTTTAGAAGAAGAGGAAGGGGAGGATAAGTTGGGAAAGAAGAAGAAGGAGGGATGCAACGATATAGTAAACGATAAATTTGTTTCAAAAAAATTAGCATTCACCCCTATTGCTCTGTCATCTCCAATTTCATCAACTTTGCTACAACCACAACCAAGTGAAAAAGAAGATTCTAATTCTAGAGTGTTGATTGGTTTAAAAGAATTAGTCAAATTAGGTTTTCAATCTGGGAGATGGGTATGCAGATCATACAAAACTTATTTACTGCTATACAATTGCTAGTACTATCATCATCATAATAATATATTTTATATTTTATATTAATATGCATTGTTAAAAGGCTTTAGTATCTGGTCCTGATTTTAAGAAAAGCAGAATGTGTCAAGTTTATTCGATGGATATTCCACAATCTTTAGAGTAATTATATTAAATATTTCTAAATTTTTTTTTTCAAATGTAATTAGAAAATGTTACCAGTCATTAATTAACTAAAGGGTCTGGGAATTATCATATAACAATGAATTATTTTATTTGTTTTTGTATTATACAAATCAGTCTTCCACATCCAGCCGCATACATCTCGCCACTTTTTTGGTTTAATCTTGGTTTTGAGGACCTTACATCAACCAAAACTTTATATATACAACCTGCAATTAGTCCACAATTACCGCCTTCAATCGCAAGGGATATGGTAGTTTCCAGAGTACCTTCTCCACATTCAATTGATAGATCTATTAATGTCGCAAGTTTAGATGGTTTAAAAAGATGGTTTGAAGAATTTGATAGAATAGTGTGTGAAGGTGATATTATTGCTATACCGATTGATGGTGAGAATTGATATTCTACACATGCAACCGATTTATATTTAATTAATAACTAATAACTAATAACTAATCATTAATCATTAATCGTTATCGATGAATTTTGAAATAGAGGAGGCAGCTCGACTACGGCCTCAAAAAATTGAAGGTGATATAGAACTGTTAGAGAATATTAAGATTAGTACATTGTCTGTAAAACCAAATACAATAGTGTATTTTAAGATCTCTAATCTACAGCTTAATCATAAAAATAAAAAGAAATGCCTTATGTATGGTTATGGTAGACGAGTTGACACAAGCTTAACTAAATTGTTACAGACTGGCATGGAACACTCCAGAGTTCCATCGATGATGAAACAATATCTCGGTATTAAATCTGAAACACCTATGTTTCCAGGAACCAATTCGGTTCTTACATCACAAGGAACATCGTATAATAAGCTTTTTGAATTAGTATCATCATGTCTTCACCCTAAAGCAATCTCTCTGAATCTTAGTTGCACTGTACTTCTACATGGACCTCGTGGATGTGGTAAAAAAACAATTGTAGAATGGGCTGCTGAAAGAGTTGGAGTTCATGTTTACGAAGTAAATTGTTTTGAAATTGCTGGAGAATCTGACACAAAGACTGAAACATTGCTCCGTACAAGGATTGAAAAGGCAATTACATGCTCACCATGTATATTGTTACTGTGTCATATTGATGCATTGGCCAGAAAAAATGCTATGCTTGAAACCGGGCAAGAGCCTACTATTTCAACTATATTGCAAGATTGTTTTCGACAATTAACTGAAAGTTTTCATTTGATAGGATTTCCGGTTTTGGTGGTGGCCACGACTGTTGATATTGAAAAAGTGCCTGATAGTGTCATCGGATGCTTTCGACACGAAATTCAAATTGAAGCACCAAGTGAACCAGTCAGATTAGCAATATTAAAACAATTGACATCTGATACACCATTGGGGCCTGATGTATCATTAACTTCTTTGGCTACACAGACAGCTGCATTAGTGGCTAAAGACTTGGTGGATTTGGTTGCTAGAGCAGGCTTGGCTTCGATTGAACGTGTAGAAAAGGCATTAAAAAAAACTAACCAAACAGTACAAGAGACAGATATTGCCCAAGCAATCGTTGCATTAACATCGGTTGATTTTGAGAGTGCGCTTAATAAAGTTAGAACATCCTATTCTGATAGCATAGGAGCACCTAAGATTCCTAATGTTACGTGGGATGATGTTGGAGGACTTGTGTCAGTCAAAAATGATATTCTAGACACCATTCAACTACCATTAGAACATCCTGAATTGTTTGCTAGTGGTATGAAAAAGAGATCAGGAGTTTTGCTTTATGGACCACCTGGAACTGGAAAAACACTTCTTGCAAAAGCAGTTGCTACGTCATGTTCATTGAATTTCTTTTCGGTTAAAGGTCCGGAGCTATTAAATATGTATATAGGTGAATCTGAAGCTAATGTTCGACGAGTTTTTCAACGCGCAAGAGATGCAAAACCATGTGTTATTTTTTTTGATGAATTGGATTCAGTTGCGCCAAAAAGAGGAGAAAAAGGTGATTCTGGAGGTGTAATGGATCGTATCGTCAGTCAGTTGTTAGCTGAATTGGATGGTATGGGACAAGGTAGTGAATCAGCTGATGTGTTTGTGATTGGTGCAACAAATCGACCTGATTTGTTGGATCCAGCTTTATTAAGGCCTGGAAGGTAAGATCAAATACAAATTTAAAATTTAAAATTTTACTATTAGAATTCTAATAATGTAATAAAAATTTTTTATTAGATTTGATAAATTGCTTTATCTTGGCGTAAGTCAAGATCATGAAACACAATTGAAAATTATAGAAGCCCTTTCACGAAAGTAAGCAAATAAATTATCAATATACAACAAAAATATATGGAATAAATAAAATATATTAAACGCTGTTTTATATATTAATAGGTTTAGATTACATCCATCATTGGATCTTAGAACAGTTGCAAAACGTTGCCCATTTACATATACAGGAGCTGATTTCTATGCGCTTTGTTCTGATGCAATGTTAAAAGCCATGTCCCGAACAGCTGAAGCTATAGAAACAAAAGTTGGTATGTTGAACAATCATTATAATCAATAAATGTACGTGATTATTTATAATTTTTATGCAAGCAATATTAATTAAAGATTTTAAATTTATTCTTTAAAAATCAATAAAGCGAAACTTAATGAAAATCCAAAACCAAATCTTCCAAACCCCATGACATCACAATACTACTTGAATCACCTTGCCACAGCTGAGGATACACTTGTAGAAGTTACACAAGAAGATTTTGATAAAGCTTTGAAAGAATTGATTCCATCAGTTTCCGAAAAAGAATTGGAACATTATCGCATGGTACAAATGAAATTTGCGCAACAAGAGACACAAAGCCTAGAAAGAATTAACGATAAAGATGGCAATGACGGTGGCGCCAACAATGATGTTGGTGTTGGTTGTTCTTATGTAAAAGGGAAAGGAAAAGCAGAATGATTTTGATTTTTTAATTTATTATCATTATTATAATTTATATTATTTTGTAATTTTGTATTAATTAAAAAATGATTATTGTAATTACTTGTTTATGATTAAGAAGATCTTGATGAGAATTTATTAAAAAAAAAAAAGAATTGGAAACAAAAAAAACTCGCTTTTTTCAAACAAGTTTAATCTTTATGTTGATCCTGAATATTCAATAAATTTTTGTGATATGAAAAAAAATTCACTTTCTATCGTACTTCCTCTCTTTCGCATAAAGAAAAGATCCAAAAAAACCTTTATTTTTGTGAAAAAATACTCACCAAGTTATTGTGTGGGAAATTTTCTCCCACTCACGCGAGGTAAAGTAGTGGAATCCGGGTGGCCCCTCTCCAAGAGAGAAAGTACATCAGGCAAAATTATACTGTCTGTGAAATTACGAAAACTTCTTCAATTGAATGATAAAAATATTGATGAGATATGGAATACATATAAAGAATTGGCTAGGGAGAGAAATTTAAAGCTTTTATACACAAAAATTTTAAATAGACTTTTAAAAGCAATCAGAGAGTTGGATAATAATCCACAAAGTCGTTTGAACAAATTTTTATGTATTTATAAAGATATGAAAGCAGAAAATACAAATTTGACACAAATTGGATTTAATTATTTAATTGAAGCATTGTTAGAAAATAATGATCTAAAATTAGCACGAAAAGTTTTTGATGAAAGGTTTATTTTTTTACCAGATCTTATCAACAAATATACATCTGAATACTACAATGCTTTTAATATAATACTCATGGGGTATGGGAAATCTCAAGAAATTTTACTGAATGGCAAAATAATAAAAACGGCAGGAAATCTTCAAGAAGTTAGTAAATTATATTCATTGATGTATAATATTCAACTCTTGCCTAACAGAGATACTAAAGCTATCATGAGAAATATATTTACAGATAATATTGATTTTGGGGCATCGACATGGTTTTGTAATTTAATGGAGAGAAAATTAGTTGATTTAAATTTAACAAAAGGAATAATGCAGATACTTGCAAGAAGGAATAGATTTGATGAAGCGGTAATAATTTTAGAAAAAATGAAAATTTTGGGGATAAAATCAGATCCGTATATATTTTTCATGTTGTTAGCAAATTCAAGCTTACAGAAAAAAGACAAGATTTCAATTTATTTAATTAAAGAAATGAGAGAACAAAAGATTGAACTTAATACATTAGGCTATAATATATTAATCAGGAATTATAATAAGGAAAAAAATTACGAAAAAGCATATGAGATGATAGAAGAAATGTTAAATTTAAATGTCGAACTAAATTTACGTACATTTAATGAAATCTTTCATACATTTGCCAAGCTTAATAAAGTCAATCCAACTTTTCGTATGATGGAACTGATGAGTGAAAAAGAAATTCAACCAAACAAATATATATATTCGTCAATGCTTAGTTTATTGTCAAAGACAAAAAATATAAAAATGATAGAAAAGATATTTCTGCTCATGATTGAGGATGGAATTGATCCAAATAGGGTTACATACGATAGTATAATACATGGATATGGAAATACAAACAAATTATACAAATCAATTGAAATTTATCAAAAAATGATAAACGAAGGAATAAAACCAGATGTTCAAACATATAACGGTTTGATATCATTTTTTGCCAAAAAGGATGATCTAATTGGAGCATGCGTTTTGTTTAATGAAATGTACGAATTAAATTTGACTCCTGACTTATACACATACTCTTCTCTTTTAAACGTATACGCAAGAACCTCAAAGTTACATTATGCAGAAAAGATTCTCTCACAAATGAAAGAAACTGGTATCCAGCCACATACAGCGACTTATAACATGTTGATCAAGGTTTACGTTGAAAGGGGAAACATGAGACGTGTCCAAGAAATTATTAAAGACATGTTAAAATCATCGATTTATCCAGACAAATACACATATTCAATTATTATGAATGGAGTTTCTATTCAAGGCAAAATGGATACAGCTGTTACAATATTAAAACACATGGTTTCAAATAAATATATAGAACCTGACGCTCATATCTACACAGTTCTCATACGTGGTTATTTAAAGATTAATAATTTTGAGACGGCAATAAAGATTTTTCAATATATGATTAATAGGAAGGTCAAGCCCACATATGTAACATTTGCTGTGTTAATAGAAGGCTATTGTAGAATTGGGAAGATAGAATTTGCTATTGAATTATTGGATATTTTAATTTCTCAACCTAAATCCCAATATCTTGATCCTAAATACGATAGTTCGATTATCGGCAAACTTGATTTGCCCCCGCATTTATTTACACCTGTTATGAATGCATATGCAAAGAAAGGGCAATTTAAATCTGCAAGAGAAATATTTGAAAAAATGATAACACTTGGTATTCCTCATAATTCACACTCATTCACAATCTTGATGGATGCTTATCGAATAGGAGGGAATCATGAAGCAGTATTCAAAATGTGGAAAGTTTTATATAAGAAAACACGATCTATTCAACTTAAGCTGATTCGATTGTCAGAATATTTTAATAAAAAAAGTATTACAATTGACGAAAGATATAAATTGTTTAATTCATTGCCAAAAGTGAAATCAGAAGAAACAAAAATAACGTCAACATCATCAACATCAACATCAACATCATTAATGCCATCATCATCACCATCATCACCATCATCATCATCATCATCATCATCATCACCATCATTATCATCATCATCATCACCATCATCACCACCATCATCATCATCATCACCATCATCAATGTCATTAACGCCATCGTCATATATATTACCTGCACCAGAACCACCGCCTAATTTTGCTCTTTCAATCATGATGGATGCACTCTCATCAGCGAATGATTATGAGACCATTGAAAATGAGTGGGATAGGCTTTATAATGATGGATTCGAATTTGATTCTCATAATTATAACCGTTTTGCACAAATTCTAATTAAATCAGGAAAAATTAAGCGAGCATGCTGAAGAATTGCCACTTTTGGAAAAAATGTATATATTTTTTTTCAATATGTCATTTGTATGGATTGGAATTATTAATTTATATCTTTTTTTAAAATTTTTACATCAAGTCATTGAAATATGATTCTATCTCTTCACAATTACTTTTCATTTGTTTCCAGTATACATACTTAATATTACTTTAAATGTCTCTAATGCTGCAATATCTAATTATTTTATTATTTTAGATCATTAATAAAAATCGGGATATTTGAACATCATAATTTAATTTAATAAAAGAATACCGTATTGTCTGGAATATAAGCAACACTCGAATATAAGCAACAAAAAAAAACAGAAAAAATAGAAAAATAAATATAATAATATTAATAATATGCACATAATTTATTCGAATTAAAATATTTTTTTGTTATTTGAAATTTAGAATTCAAAAACATTTTTAAAATCTAAAGCTAATACTTGTTTTTCAGTTATATCTTCCTCCACCTTTTCATCTTCTGTTACGCGAGATTCTTCTACTTCATTCAATGAATCAATTGGAAATCGCACCTTCTTTATAAAATTTCAGGCAATAGTAATAGGTGCATTGACTTTCATAACAGTATAATTGTAAATCTTGTTCCAACAGGTGAAATAAAGTCACGTCTACATTATGGCTAAATGCAAGAGAATGGAGAGTACAACTAAATTGATTTACTACCATTGAAGTCTTTAAAGCATTGTAATTTAGTAAATTATAATTTATTATCATCATAATTATCATATATTTACGTGTGTTATTAACTCTACTATTATTATTATATTTGTAGTTTATTGAAAGATAATATAACAGTTGATTTACAATAAGCAGACTAGGGGTTGGCACCGTTAACTGTTTAACTGCGGTTGACCGATTGCGATTAAACAATTAACCAGTTAAGATATTTTTTAGCCGGTTAACCATCATTTAATATTAATTTTTTTTATATATGATTATTATTACAGTCAAACCTCGTCACAGCGGACCTCGCCAGAGGATTTCTTGTTATAACGGATTTAAGTATTGGCCCCCTTTTTTATTAATATTAATATTAATATTATAATAAACAAATTTTATTTAAAATCCGTTGTGGCAAGATTACTAAATACTAATACTAATCTTGCCACAGTGGATTTTTATATGTTTTTGCATGTGATATGCGAAGCAAAATTTTTTAAAAATCCGTTATGACAAGAGTTTGATTATTATTATTATTATAGTTCGCACAATATAAAAAATTATTGTAACATTTCAAATTTCCACTATGCTTGTTTATTATATAAATTTGCATTTGGTTCCCTCAAAGACAGTTCGTTATACAGAATAGAGAATTTAATTATAAAGTTCGTTATAGAGAGCAAATTTAATTAATAAAAAATCAGGACCAAAATCTTAGTTCATTATAGAGCGGTTCGCTTTTCGGAGGTTCGTTATAGAGAGCTTTGACTGTATTCGTTCTTTTGACGATGATTTCTGGCGGCGAAATAAATCAAATTATAACAATAGTTAGTCTGTTACTTTAAAACACTACTATTGCCATGTTTAAAATTTGCAATTGCCAGGCACTCATTTTTGGTTAACTTCTGGTGATAAAAGAAATATTAATATTAATATCAGTATCAATATTAATATTAGGTAAAATAGCTCAGATTCACCGTAGAAAGGAGTTATTATAAAAAATTTATTTAAAATTGCAAAATAAAACATCAACTAAACTGAATCAATTGCTGGCTGATTCATTTGATTTCCCTCGCTAACAATTATTTATTAAATATAAAAAGACACTTGCGCTCTATAATAAAATTTCCACGAGCAAATTTGAATATATAGCAATCATATCCATTTTCTTACCACCAAATATAATGAATAAACAATAATATTATGTGTAAATTAATCTTGAACATAATCATCTTAACCTTTTAAACGTTGTTTGATAAATTCTACCATTCTCTCTATTCTTCGCTATTGCAACAATTTCCACAGATCCAAAGTGTAATGTTAGCAGCACAGAACGATTCAATCCTAAATGAGTGTCAGGCAAATCAACAACAAAACTACCCAATTCTTTCATTTCAGATTCACCACAATATGTTGTGCTATATTCTGCAGTACAAAAGAAGGTAAATCTCATGGAAGTTTGATCTGGGTGAATAGGAACCATATTCCTGGAAAATTCCATGCCCGCATCCGATTCTGTTTCTTTTCTGGCCATAAAAGAAAACTTATAGATCTGATCATCTGTTGTTTTACGAGATGACAGATCACCAGCTTGCTATTTGAAAAAAAAAATAGGTTGTTATTTTGAATAATTTATTGCTTTGGTTTTTGGATATATTACTGATTTGGTTTACCCATTCATGACTAAGTCTAATTCCATACGTCCATTTTAGTACTTTTGTGCTTACAATCTTCATACCAAGTCCATATTCACATGCACCCCTTACAACTACAGTAGCTGGATTAGACGGAACTGGGATAAAACCAAAATATTCAAGTATCAGTATTATTAGTTGTTTTGATTTTTTTTAAAAAAAAGCAAAGATCAGCCAACATACTTGCTATTTTCAATCGATCTCCGAATCTTTGTTTAATTCTAGATTGAAGATATTTTGATTCGCTGAATTCTCCAACCAAAAACATCATTGAACAGTCTGAATATTTTGACAGCTGTATCTCAATCAACTTCAAAATCCTGTTGATTACTGGATCAAAAAATGATTTCACAGTATCAAAATCAAGATCAATGACCCATTCATCCTCATCTGATAATTGATCTCTTTCTGACCCAGTGACATATTGCTTAAGTGCTGGACATTTTTTCTCAATGTCCAATTCAATGGTTTTGAATTTGGATTTTTCACCAGTGAATAGAATTTTAATATCAGGACAAAAATATTTATGTATTAAATAATTAACCTGACCATAATGTTTCTCCTTTAACATGTTCATTGCAGATTTACCTACTCTACTTTCAAGAAATTTTAAGAACTCATCATCAACATAGGTACCTCCACAAAAATCTCCTGAACGCTCAGTCACTTCTCCTATTTGTCCATCTGGTAATAATTTTCTAATTGTTAAATCCACAGTTCTTCCACCACAATCAACAACCAAGTATTTTGCTAAGTTAAATCATACAGTAACAATGTATTAAAAATTATAAGGTAAGTAAAGTGAGCAAAAAAAGCATTATTAAAATATACCTCCTGTTACTAATTTGAAATCTTTTGACATATTTATACAATGAATTGCAATAGCTTCCGCTAAAATTTAGATCGGGTATATTAGATGAAAACCAATAATGTGATAATGGCACATGTAGTGCTTGAAAATGCTTTCTTACTTACGTTCAGTGGTAAATTGAAGATTTAGTGCACCAATTGATTTGATCAAGCCAGCATTGTATATACATTTTCTCATAATTGTCTTGGCATATTCAGTGTATTCTAAAATGATAATTTTTAAAATAGTTAGTATATTGTGTATATAAATGTGTGTGAGTTTATAAATATAATAGCTAGTTACCAGCAGGTACTGTAAAAACAAGTCGCACATTATTGTAAAAATCAATTCCACACCAACGATTTTTTACGTTCTCTTTGATTGTCTATCATATCATAAAAAATTCAAAAACTAAACTGTCATTATGTAACAATGCCCGCTTTTCTGCCTCATAACATATAAACTGGAGATATAAAGTATTTTTATCATACCTTTCCTAAAAAAATGATTCCGTCATATTATTAATTTTGAAAACCAATTATTAAATAAAAACGTGATTAGTTACCCATTTCACGAAGATAGTCCGTTATTGCTTTATCAAAAGTAATTCCAGGAGGTAATTTGGGTTTTTGGCTTTCTGGAATATTTTCTAAATGGAGTTTGAAATCTTCCACCGGTCTTGGTAAAGGTTTATTGGTATGTCTTTTTATTCTACTAGGCTCAGAGATTAATGCATCAGCCCCCCAAGAGACAACTTCTTTATAGTCTTCGTCGTATTGTAATACTGTATTGGTTTTACCAGTAGTTTTGTAATGGCCCCATTCTTGATTCACTACAATTTCTATCTTCTCTTTCTCTGGTTTAATGTAAGCGTAAGAAAACCCCTAATAAAGGAAGGAGACAAGGTATTGGTTAATCGAAAGGTAAAAAATAAAATAGCACGTAGTGAATAAGTTACCGAAAATTTTGTGCCGAAATCTGAATTTAAAGTATAAAAAAGACAATGTTTCGTCAGAAAAAAATTTATGTAAGAGATCCTTTAGGTTTATATGCTCACCTACTCCAACAACTATAAGTATCTTCTCCTCTTCAAAATCACAGTCATGTAATACCATAATGATAAAATGTCAAAAATTACAATCATTACTAAATTAATAAGCATCATTTGCCTCACAAATAATCCTATTAGAAGTCATTAGTAACCTTTATTGTTATTATGTGCGATCTACTTTTTTATTGAATATTAAATATTGTAATGTTATGTATATCCCAACAATTTTTTTTAACATATGTTTTCCTTTTTAGGGAAGTAGTCAAGGAATTTTCCAGGGTCAAAATTTTTCATGACTATTTTGAAACTTATTGTTAATCTTTGGTTGAAACCATATTTGCATATCCTTATTATTACTATAACCAAAATGTTCATGATCTGGCCCTTCAAATCCTAGTAACATCAATATCATTCGTCGACTTATTAATTTATTATATGAATTTGTCTTGATAGGAAAAACTGCTATGCTTGACAATGGAATTGAATAAAATTATATAAGAATAAAATATCTATTGTGTTGTTTTGTAAATTAGTATCAACAATATGCTTTCTCTTAATTCATCACCGTTTATAATTACATGAAAGTATCATCAGAATTTCAGCAAATACATTAATTTAATTATCATAAATTAACCATATCATTTGAATTTTGACTTGAAATGATGACGATATTTCATTACATTGGATGCCCTCTTTCATCTCTTGAAACAACATTTTATTATTACAATCTGATGAAAAATTATTAAACCTATTAATTAAAATTTTTAATGGTTTTAAGCATTTATAACTTACATTTGATCTAAAGTCTTTTTGATATTATCACACTACGTAACAAATAACAACTTGGTTTTTATCCGGAAAGATTACTTTCAAATTTTTATCAACTTTATCAGCTTCACAAAGATTAAATCCAATTATTGGAAATGCACAAATATCAACATATAAATCTTCAAGGTCATGTTCATCCCAAGATGCATTCATCATAATAGTATTGATGCTTGTTTTTATATTCAAAAATTTTCCAATTGGCAACACTTTTAATCCGAAAAAAATATACAAACTTGCCTAACAATCTCATCGATCATGCTTTCAATTTCTGACAAACTTGTTTGGATTTGTAATTGTGCGATAACAATTCATTAAATCTAAAATGTCTTTTTGTAGTGTTGTTATCAATGGATGTTTTTTGTCTTTGCCTACAACAATATTGGAAAATCCGCGATTTCCAAGAACACCATAAATTTGTTGACGTAATTTCGTTGAAGTAGCTTTGCTAGCTTTATCATTTCAGACACAATTAAACGTGTCAATCTCAATAGTTGTTTTGTTGTCTCGACTATTTTCACTTCTAGACTTTCCGAACTTTGTTGCTGTTTTTCGTAACATCATTATCATTTTCAATGATGTTATCGATCACGTGACGTTCCAATGCGCCAGAAATGATGTTTTTACTATTATGTATTTTATAGTTCTTTTACTTCCAACTCATTAATGTTAATTCTTTTTTCAGTCCACAAAATTTATCTAAATTTTGATGTAAATTGCGAATGTCTTTTGATAATTAACCAAGACTATTGGAATCTTGAATTCCTAATTGAAAACTTGTTGCTGATTGATATTTGATAGCTTCTTTCTTTAAATTAACATTATCTTTATCAAATCATTAATATTTTTATCTTTTGAAATTAATAATTCCTCTGATTCTTGACAAATTGCTTGAAGATTTTGATAGTTGTTTTCGAGCATTTTATTTCGTGATTGAAGTTTACTACTACCATAACTTAGAAAGTTCCTCCCATACACTTGATTTTGTATTTTTACTTTTTTCCAATTCATTGATTTTATTTATTTTTTACTTCTAATTTATTATTTTTACTTTCCAATTCCAATTCATTGTTACTACCTTCCGATTCATCCCTTTTCTTTTCATTGTTATTACTTTCCAATTAATTGTTATTATTTTCCAACTGATGTTGGTATTGGCATTGATTCACCACCATATCTACACCTTCCATCCCCATTTTTTCTTCAATTTTTTTATTTTCCATGTGTTTTTTTTAAAATATTAAAAGCATTTTTATTAATTATATAATACTCTCCAACATCAAGATAGTCTGTTGGTTTTGTGAGCACAAATTATTGTAATAATTGTTGTAGTATAAATAGTTGCTGAATTTGTAGGAGTTGTTGCTGAATGTCTGAGAGAATTAGGAGATGTTGCTCTGTAGGTTGTTGATGATGCTGTAAGAAATGCTGTTTATATTGTGCGAAAAGTAGTTGATATTCTGTGGGTTGTTTCAGATATTGTAAAAACTGATATGCCAATGTCGTTGATTTAAGTGTGTGAATATATCATAAACAATTGTATTGTCCTCTGGAGTGTATACCATTTTAAATTTAAAGAGAATAAATAATACATTACAATAATATGCCGTTCAAAAAAACCGTTGAACCTGTTTTAATCATGTGATCTAAATGTGCAAAATATACTAGAGTACTTAAAATATTTATTGCTTTTGGCATGATTGAAAGGTGCATAAAACATACAACCAACTCACTCACTAATTCCAATCCTTGCTTGGCACCAGCATTTAATCATCAATGATAAATTATGTATGCAAATTCCCTTCTACACACTATTATCACTGGTTTGTTTTCAGCTGTAAGTGCAATAACTTTGTTTAAATATTAAACCTTTCTGCCTTTGATACCTTAAATTTGATATTTCTGCTGCTTTCTTAATGCAGAGATCATTATCAGTAGCTGAAATGATTAAAGTAAATTCCTGGTATTATTTTTTACCCTTGAATTTCCATATAACAAATAACACTAATCAGATTTTCTTTTTTTTTATAAGACTAACAAAACAGGTAAAATATGATCAGCAACTGAATCAACTGCTAACAATTATTTATATATTTATTTAAATACAAAGATAATAAGACTACACATGCAAATTTTAATATAGCAATATTAATTATTTTTATCACCAAATATAACATTATGTTTCAGACATGGAATGATATAATTGTCTAATCTTTTTTTTAAATGTTGTGCGATAAACTTTACCAGTAGTTCTATTCTTTGCTGTTGCAACAATTTCCATAGATCCAAAGTGTAATGTTACTTCTACAGAACGATTCAGTCCTAAATGAGTATCAGGCATATCAACATCAAAACTACCCAATTCTTTCACCTCAGGTTCATCACAATATGTTGCATCATATTTGGTGGTATAAAAAAAGTGAAGTGTTCCACTGGTTTGATTGGGGTTAATAGGGCCCAAATAACTGGAAAATTCTTTGTTAACATTCACCTCTGTTCCTTTCCTGGCCATCAAACTAAACTTGTAGATTCGGCCATTTATTGTTTTACGAGATAGTGGATCACCAGTTTGCTAATGTTAAAAAAGTTAGTTTTGTTATTTGGATAATATAATATTGATAATATATTACTGTTTAGTTTTGGTTGGTGATGCTTACCCATCTATCACTAATTTTAATTCCATATGACCATAATAATACTCTTGTTCTTACAATCTTCCTATTAAGTCCATATTCACATGCACCCTTTACTATTGCAGTAATTGGATTGGGTGGAACTATAATAACAAAATATTTATTAACTGATTGCTTTAATTTTTCTTTTTTCTTTAAAAAAAAGGGTCAGCCAACCAACATACTTGCTATTTCTAATTTATCTTCAAATTTTTGTTTAATTCTAGATTGAAGATATTTTGATTCACTGAATCCTCCAACCAAAAACATCACTGAACAGTCTGAACATTTTGACAACTGTATCTCAATCAACTTCAAAATTTTGTTGATTACTGGATCAAAAAATGATTTCACAGTATCAAAATCAAGATCAATGACCCATTCATCCTCATCTGATAATTGATCTCTTTCTGACCCAGTGACATATTGCTTAAGTGCTGGACATTTTTTCTCAATGTCCAATTCAATGGTTTTGAATTTGGATTTTTCACCAGTGAATAGAATTTTAATATCAGGACAAAAATATTTATGTATTAAATAATTAACCTGACCATAATGTTTCTCCTTTAACATGTTCATTGCAGATTTACCTACTCTACTTTCAAGAAATTTTAAGAACTCATCATCAACATAGGTACCTCCACAAAAATCTCCTGAACGTTCAGTCATTTCTGCTATTTGTTCATCTGATAATAATTTTCTAACTGTTAAGTCCACAGTTCCTCCACCACAATCAACAACCAAGTATGTTACTAAGTTAAATCATACAGTGAAAATGCTATTTAGTAAATTATAAGGTAAATAAAATGAGCCAAAAAGCATTATTATATATACCTCCTGTTACTAATTTGAGATCTTTTAATGTATTTATACAATGAATTGCAGCAGCTTCCGCTAAAATTTAGATCAAGTATATTAGATGAAAATCAATCATGTTATAATGGCTTAAAAATGCTTTCTTACGTTCAGTGGTAAATTGAAGATTTAGTGTGCCAATAGATTTAATCAGGCCAGCATTGTATATACATTTTCTCATAATTGTCTTGGTATCTTCAATGAATTCTAAAATGATAATTTTTAAAATAGTTAATATATTGTGTATATAAATGTGTGTGAGTTTATAAATATAATAGCTAGTTACCAGCAGGTACTGTGAAAACAAGTCGCACTTGATTGTAAAAATCAATTCCATACCAATGTTTTTTTACGTTCTCTTTGATTGTCTATCATATCATAAAAAATTCAATATAAACTAAATTATCATTATGTAGCAAAAAAGCAGACATTGTTAAATTTTAACAATGCCTGCTTTTCTGCTTCATATAAACTGGAAATACAAAATATTTTTATCATACCTTTCCTAAAAAAAAAAAAAGATTTCGTAATTAATTTTGAAAACAATTTTTTATGTATGAAATTTGATCATTAAATGAAATAGTAAAACGTGATTGGTTACCCATTTCACGAAGATAATCCGTTATTGCTTTATCAAAAGTAATTCCAGGAGGCAATTTGGGTTTTTTGCTTTCTGGAACATTTCCTAAATAAAATTTGAAATATTCCACCGGTATTGGTAAAGGTTTATTGGCAAGTCTTCTTCTTCTACTAGGCTCAGAGCTTAATGCATCAGCTCCCCAAGTGACAACTTCTTCACAGTTTTCGTCGTATTGTAATACTGTATTGGTTTTATCAGGACTTTTGAAATGGCCCCATTCTTGATTCACTACAATTTCTATCTTCTCTTTCTCTGGTCTAATGTAAGCGTAAGAAAACCCCTAATAAAGGAAAGAAGCAAAGTATCAGGTGAAAGATAAAAAAATAAAAATAGCATATAACAATTGAGAATAAGTTTACCGAAAATGTTGTGCCAAAATCTGAATTTAAAGTACCATAAAAAAAGGACAACATCTCATTAGAAAAAATTTTCTGTAAGGGATATTTTAGGTTTATATGCTCACCTACTCCAACAACTAAACGTATATCCTTGCTTTCAGGTTCGAATTCAATACAGTCATGCAATTCCATAATAACGAAATATAATTTTTAATCAAAAATTACAAAAATACATAAACAGTATATATCAAAACAATCATTACTAAATTAATATGTACCATTTATTCTTTATTTGATATTTGTCATTCGGAATTTATTCTCAGGCTCGGATAATAATAAAACTAATGATGAAATGTAAGTTATAAATGGTTAACGCCATTAATATTTTTTATAGGTTTAATAATGGAAGAAGGCATTCAATATATGAAATACCGTCATCATTTTCAAATTTTAATTTTATGATAATGAAAAAAAGCAATGTTCTACAAAATACATGATCAAACTAACGCATTCGTTGAAATTCTGATCAACAATCATGGTGAACCCAATCAATATCATCAAGCAGTTATAATTGGTGATGAATTAATAGAAGAACTGTATAATTATAAGAATATCATTGATGCTAATTACAAATCAACTAGTCTTAAATTATTAGATATAATTTATTCAATCCACTGTCAAATATAGCAGGTTTTCTCAACAAAACCTTATCAAGAGATAAATTAATAAATTGACAAATACTAGGGTTAGAATGACCAGATCATGAACATTTTTGACATTTTGATTATAATAAGGCTATGCAAATATGGTTTAAATCAAAATATAGAAGGATTAACAATAGTCGAAATTTTTATATGAAAAATTTTTGGCCCCGAAAAACTTCTTGACTACTCCCCTAAAAAAGGGAAACACATAATCAACTTTAAAAAAGATTGTCAGGATATACAATATTTAATATTCAATAAAAAGTAAATTGCACATAATGACGATAAAGGCTACTAATGATTTCTAGTGGGATTATTTGTGTTGTGTTTTCAAGTTTTCATTAACTTTGTCTGTTTCAGAAAGTTGGATCCAATTATTGGTAATGCACATATAAATCTTCAAGTTCGTTTTCATCCTAAGATGCATCCATCATAAAGTATTTATTCTTGATTTATTTTCAAAAAATCTCCTCCAATGGGCAATAGGTTCTTCTTGTACCTTTAATCCGAAAAAAAAAGAAAATACTAACACAATTTCATCAATCATGCTTTCAATTTCTGGATTTATAATTGTATAATAACGATTCACTAAATCTAAAATATCTTTTTGTGATGTTGCAATCAATGGATGTTTTTTGTCTTCTTCACATTGGAAAATCCACGATTTCCAAGAACACCATAAATTTGTTGACGTAATTTTGTTGAAAGTGGCTTTACTAACTTCATCGGTTCTGATTAAGGTTTTCAGTCGAAACTACCTCTCTTAGTAGCTGAAATTGTCGAAAATTTTGGGCAAAAATTATTTTTTATAGGCCCAAACTATTTTTTATCAACAGCCAAAACTGAGCGAAATTACTTTTAAATTAAAGTAGGTTGATTTATATAGTTTTTTCATGTTATAAAAAACATTGAAAAGCCCAAACTATTGCCAAAGCTACTGTTTTTTTCGAAAATAGTTTGGACTGGAAACCTTAGTTCCTACACGATTTGTTGAAATTGAATGTGTCAATTTCAATAGTTGTCGTGTTGTATCAACTATTTCTATTCCAAATTTTCCAAACTTTTTCGTAATCCTCTTTGTTATCTTTTTGCCATCATTATCATTATCTTCAAAGTAATTGTTGGTTTTTCAATGATGGTCTCGATCACATTATGTACCAGCATACCAGAAATCAAGTTTTTGCCATTATGTGTCTGATTGGTGATTGAACAACCAAATTTCACAAAAGTTCTTTTACCTCTGACTCATTAATGTTAATCCCTTTTTTCAGTCCACAAAATTTTTATGCAAGCTGCGAATGTCTTTTGATCATTATTAGAATCTTTACTTCCTTGTTGAAAACTGTTGCATCAACCAAAGCTGATTGATTCTTTCTTTCGAGTCAACATTATCTTTTGTCAAGTCATTAATATTTTTATCTCATAAATTTATAATTCCTGATAATTTGTTTGAAGATTTTGATATTTGTTTTCAAACATTTTATTTTGTGATCGAAATTTACCATCATTATTTAAAAGGTCTTCCAATCCCTATCATACACTTGATTTTGTATTTTGACTTTTTTTTCCAATTCATTTTTTTTCTTTTCAATTCCAATTCATTGTTATTATTTTCCAATTTATGTTGGTATTTACTTCTTCTACACCTTCCATGCCCATTGTTTCTTCAATTCTTCTTTATTTTCCATATGGTTTTTTAAATTATTGAAGACATCTTTGTCAATTATATAATGCTCTTCAATATTAAGATGATCTGTTGGTTTTGTGACTTGTTTATGCACAAATTGTTGTAATAATTGCTAAATTAAGAGTTTCTAAGGAAATTAAGGAATGTTGCTTTGTGGGTTGTTGATGGTATTGTGAGAAATGCTGTTGGTTTTATGAGGAAAGTGGTTGATATTCTGTGGGTTGCTGTGCGAGTTGTTTCAGGTACTGTAAAAAATGATATGGCAGTTTTCCTGTGTGTTGATGCCATTGTTTTGAGCGGTGTTGCAGTTTATGAAAGGAATTTTGTCATTGATTTAAGAGTGCTTGCAATGTTTGTGTGAATTGTTATCATAAATAATTGTATTGTCTTCTAAAGTGTTAATCGTGTGATCTAAATATATTCACTGTAACAGAGAATACTTGCTTTAGAGCAACACTAGCATAATAATGAAGGTGGACCGGAAGACATATTGCCGAATTATAATTCATATTTACGACACGGTTATGTCGTAACTATGTCGTAACTGTTGTATGGTGTAATACCGTATGCCGTGACTGTTTATCTTTCCTTTTTTAAGTAATGCCAACCCATAAATCAAAAAATGACCTAGGTGGCCTCATTTGGTGATCCTGTGATCATACGGCATTTGCTGTGTGTCATCCTCAAGTGTTCATATGTCTGCACCTTTAATCTAAAGAGCAAGATGAAAATTATCGTTGTTGTCGTTGATATTGATGATAAAAATGCATTATTAGTAAAATTACTTTATCTTCAAAGATTTACATATTAATATTTGATATAGCTGTTCGTCTTCTCAAAAATTTACTTAGATATATTAATGGAAAAGTCAAGAGCACTTAAAAACATATTTATTGTCTTGAAATACATAAAACATACTTAAATCGAAATATGCATATTTTAGAGAATTCATTATGTTTTAAGAGCATTCTTAATGGGGCAGTCAGCAATACTGGAATAGGCTCACGTTTCAACATGGTTTAAAATATTAAACCTTTCTGCCTTTGATATCCCCAAATCTGATACTTCAACTGCTTTCTTAACCCAGAGTTCATTATTAATAGTTGAAAATAAAATAAATTCCTGATATTATTTTTTTTTACCCTCGAATTTCCATATAACTGAATAACATTAATTAGAGAATCATATCATTTTTGATTAAAGACTAAACGAAAACAGGTAAAATATGATAACAATCATTTATTTATTTATTTAAAATGCAAAAATACATGCACTATTAAATAATATATAATAAAGATTAGCTTTTGTTACTAATACAAACTAATTTTTTATATGAATAAATGATATTATGTTTCAGGCAGAATAATATTATTATCTAATCTTTTTTAGGTGAACTTCACCATTCCGTTCTTCCTCCTCAAAATTATTGTCTTGAATGACAGTTTGCATGTTAGACTTTCCATTATCATCATCCTCTTCATGATCATTTGTAAAATCAGGCGCATTCAGATAAGATTCTAAGTATTCCTCTACTGGAAACGTGAAAATATCATGTATTTCTTCAGCAACTTACAAATTTTCATAAAATCTGTACTACACAATATATCATGTAAATCTTCGACGGTGATTCATTCTTCGAGTTGAAAGATTGAAAGAAAAAAGTTTTTGCATTTTCTTAAGAAAAATCATATTTTACGCTTCCCATAATACCATTCTAATGTGGACCAAATTCTTTCACAGCCAGCTGAATGCGGTGTTATAGAAAACAACATATCAACTAACTGGCGAACGTGATCTTCATCCTTTTGAAAATTATATTCTAGAGAAAACCACCATATAAAAGAGACTTATCAGTATCAAAAAGACATGTCAAAAGGTGGTTTTCGACCCCGATACGTTCTCGTTTGAAACATTGGTTCTTTCTTCTGTTTTCTGTTTATCTGCTATAAGTAAAATACGTCATAATGTTCCCTTTGCCTATAATTATTTTAGGATTATTATAATCCTTAAAAATATAATACCATCATATCTGGGATGTAATAAAAAACATATATATATATATATATATACACGCCATTGGTAAATATAGAAGACTAAATCTCTTAAACCAAAACGTTCAAAGAAATGGAACATGTGAAATATTTGGTAAAATTCGTTGCACACAAATTGGGATTTGTGTAATAAATAAATGTTCCACAATTTTGTTTAAGCAATTCAGAAGACCTTACAAACTATACAAGCATTCCAAGAATTTTTAAAACAACGACAAAAAAATTCTTTAAGAACTGAAACAACGCTTAAAACAATCCATACAAAAATCATAATATTGGAAACATCTCTCACAACACCAGCAAAACCTCTATCAGAAACTCAGCAACTACTCTTTATGAATTCAGCAAATATTTATTTATTATTTAGAACAATTCGCAGATAAACAAGTCACAAAGCAAAAGATCATCTTAAATTTGGAGAACATTATATATAATTAGTAAAGCTGTTTTGGTAATTTAAAAAAACACATGGAGAGTGAGAGTACAGTTATGGAGGATGTACAGATGATGGTGGTGGAGGTGGTAGATACGATGGATGTAGTAATGGAAGGCGATCATCAATCAGAAAGTAAAAACAATGAATCGGAAAATAAATTCATTGAGTTGGCAAATGAATTGAAAAATAAAATCATTGAGTTGGAAAATGAATTGAAAAATAAAAACAATGAATTAGAAAGTAAAATCAGTATAATCAATGAATTTGGAAGCAAAAACAATGAAATGGAAAGTATAATCAATGAATTGGAAAGTAATAACAATGAATTGAAAAGTAAAACTAAAAAATTAGAAAGTAAAATCATTGAATTGAAAAACATAAACAATGAAACAGAAGAAAAATTCATGGAGTTGGAAAGTAAAAATGAAGGATTGAAACAGAGAAACACTAAATGGAGAAAAAACTGCAAGAAATTGAAAGCTAAAAACGATGAATTAGAAAATAACAATAATCTGTTGAAAAATAAAAACAATGAATTAGAAAGTAACAACAATCTGTTGAAAAGTAAAAACAATGAATTGGAAATCAGAAACAAAGGAAAAAGTCAAAATACATTTGGGAGCACATTTATGGGGGGAATTGTGATGAACATTTTCAATCCTAAAGAACTTCAAACAACTTGTCAAGAATTAGAGGCATTATTAAATTCAAAGGATATTTATATTAATGGTTTGCTAAAAGATAATGATGACTTAAAGAAAGAAGCTACTAAATATCAATCAGCTTTGGGCGATGCAACAAGTTTTCAACTAGGAAGTCAAGATTCCAATAATGCTGGTCAATTATCAAAAGATATTGGTAATTTACATAAAAATTTAGATAAATTTTGTGGGCTGAAAAAAGGTATTAAAATTAATGAATCAGAGGTAAAAGAACT